GCTCAGGTCCCTTCCAACCCGACCAACTATGAAACTGTGAAACTACGTGCTCCAACATGTTCTGAATAGAACACATCAGAGCAGACTTGACTGATTGATGTAATAGGGATAATCTTGACCAAATGCTATGTTGGTTTGTTTACCCTCCTCATTCTTTCTATGTTGGTTTGTTTACCCCCCTCAGCCTTTCAAGGATGAAAGAAAAACTACCGTGAACTTTTTGTTGTGATTATTTAGAGTTGTCCTCCTCTGACATGCATATTGAGAAACTCTGTCTGCAGCAAATGATGAAGCTTCTGATACACATGTCTCTGAAGTAGCAGAACAATCTTGTTGCACCTGATGTGAGAGAAAGAAAAACAAGTACCGAGTCTGTCAGAACATTTTAACCATCCAAAATACATTCTCTAGAACAATAGAATAGTAAAATTAATTTCAATTTAGTTAATATAAAAGCCTACATTAACTCTTTTCTAGAAAAAAAATAAGTAAGTTTCCTATTGTCCACTGAGGAATTTGGTGTTTGAGCTTCCTGAGAATATTTGGTTTCCACATATAGATTTCAAAGGTACAGTGGAAACAAAACCTATTTTTGCACTGGATACACTAAATACTGCTTCTCTTGTCAATGGTATATGATTCCCAAACTAGAAAACTTAGAAACTGGTTAAGGTTGAAAAAACCTACATAGGGTTGAGAGCAGAGCTTTTCAAATAATTAATTTTTTATTTCTATTTGTATCAAACTAATATAGAATATTTTTGTCCATTTTTTCTGCCAAAACAGAAAGGATGGAAGGACTTTGACTTTTAGATACTTTATTCTGGGCTTTGAGGTACAAAAAGTTGGCCCCTATCGGGTCCAATATACAAAGCAAAGACAAACAAATTACCATGAAACCAAGAGCACCATGTCGTTACATTCATAACATCACACCATGACAAACACCTTTGCTGTATTACACGTCATACCTAACATGCCATTATGTGATCGGGACACCCAGCCACACGGTCATACAGACCAAAGCCCTCTATAAACAAACGATTCCTAACCTGCTCTATCCAATCATACACGTGACAACACCTTCAACTTCCCACACAAAGAAAAAATGCAAAAAGGAGCCTGGTGACGGCTCAGGGTGCAGCACAAACTTGGAGTCGCAGTCCACCACTAACCCTGTCCAGTTGCCCAGACCGGTTAACAATATTCCCTCTAAGGTGTAGTGGTCCGTGAGCATACTGCTTCAGTCTGTGAGCGTGCCGCTTTGGTCCATTCCCGAACTGGTCCCACCTCCCCCTTTTGGAATGCACCACTTTGGTCTGCCCCACAGTATAACAACAAAATATAATACTATAACCTTTATTTACCAAAATGACTCCCATCTACCTTTGGTAAATAAATGATAGAAAAAGCAGCTAACAGCTAATTTACCCAAAGTACCATATCTGCCTATGCCCTTAGACCAACCCAGCTGTAACCAGCACTTTAATACTTTCAAATTCAAATGCATAAACTAGTGACAATAAAGACAAACCACTAAATGGCTAAAAAACTGGCACCAGCCCCAGCCCCCCCCTCACCTCCAGGAGCACAGCTTGGAGGGAATCTTGGCCATAAACACTGGCCTTTCTTTTGATTTGAAATCTGCTTTTATTTCTGCAGCAAATGCATTTTAGGGAGTGGAGGATTGGAATTCATTTATTTTTATTTTTCACTTATTAATATGCCTGTTTTTGATGGTTTTAACTCGTACCATTTCTAGCTTTACTGCACCATATATAGTGAGTCACTGCTTCTATTTTTCAAGCTTGGCAAGCATAGTGAGGATTCACCTTAGCTGTATCCTAAGATATTAGTTGATCTGTCTAAGGGTCTTGAGAGCTTTGGTCAGCCATAGCATCTCAGATTGATTGGATGGAAATTGAGTAGAGTCACTGAATAGGACAGATTTTTCTGTCTGAGGCAGTTAAGAGTAAGATATTTTAAACATACCTGCATACTCAATTCCCTTTGAAATGACATTTTAAAGATATTTAGGCTGTTAACTCCCACTACAATTAATA